TATAACATTTCAAAGATAGAATTATGAAAAATTTTGCCGTGCGTCATCTTCTAAATAAACATTTCTTATAATATTCTACATTATCTTTCCAATTTAGTATACTCCGTATTAATCAATTATAGTGCGTTGCTTTAGGATTTGAGTTATATTAGGAGCCCGTGTGGCGACCCTTTTTTTTCGGCTTATCAGACATTATTTTTTATTTCACGCGCTGAATTATGTAATAAGCAGAAAAAGTAAGGTTAAAGTTACCTTTCTGAATGTTTTGCTAAAGTTATGGTAGATGATCATTTTAGCTATTTTTCATTCTTCATATAATTTTTTAATTTATTTATTAATAACAAATATTTTAAATATAATTTTCTCATGAATCAGCAAAATCAGCCAATACAGCCACTTCAGCCATAACTTCATAAATTTCAGCAGAATCAGCCAATTCAACCAATTTTAGTGTTATCAAACGGGGCTCTAGAATTCTCATTACGTGGGTACTAAAAATCAGGAATTCTATGAAAGTGGGAATCACTTCATGAGACCCTGATAAAAAAAACTCTTTATTTTTAAATTGAAATAAATTTTTTATTTGTAATTTAATTTTTATAAAAAAATATATCAAAATTTGTGATTTTTTATTATCTTTCATTTGACACCAATATTGCATATGTAAGAATGAAAATAATTTTAATCAAAGGAAACATGGATGTTTTTAGGCTGAAAACCTTTTTAAAATAGAAATTGTCCTAAATAGGAATAAAAACATTTTGAAATTCCAAAATACGACCTTCATATTTTTATTCGCTAAATAGGTGTAATTTTTGTCAAGTTTGAAAAAAACTTGGCAAAACTGCCACATTTAAATCTTGATTATGTCAAACTTGGCACGAATTACTCTTATTTATCAAATTTTAACACATGCAGTCTTGCTATGTTCCCCACTTTCATTTTACGATGTTCCACTCTTTACCCAATTTTATGAATGATTAGGAAGTTATTAGAAAAATATAAATAGTTTTATTGAAATGGTTTGGAGTGCTTAAAATATTTTATTCTCATACATTCCACTTTATTATGTCAAACTTTCGTTTAGTATGTGTAGTTAGTTATTAGATTGAATTAAATAAGTTTTTCAAGGGTTATTTTTTCAATTGCTCTAACTTTTTATATTTATAATTTGAGTTCTACAGAAAATGTATAAAAATTTAAAATTTATTATTAACTTTTGTATAACACCAAAATTGCTTAAATACAAATAAGAATACATCTAAATATATGGTTGATGGAGGCATTTTATTTATTGCTTGAAAGTGCCAATAGAAAATGTTTGTGATCCACTTAATTGCAAAACTTGGATCCATTTAAGACAAATTTTAAGCCTTAATACCTCCATCAATCGTATATTTAGATTTTTTGTATATGCAATGTCGATGTCATATGAAAGATTATAATAATTTATGAATTTTGATACATTTTTGTAAATCCGGATTACAAATAAAATAAGTTATAGCACTAGGGTATAAACAAAGTCAAGATGATCACTTTTCAGGTAATGAAAAGCTGGAAAAACATAATTTGAGAAAATGATTTCACAGCTTAATTTGAAATGAAGTACTTTGAAAATAGATGAAACTTCATTAAGGAAAAAGTTAATTTATTTCCACAAAATATGTTCCTTTGGGACTTCAATTAGTAGATGTACTAATCAAAACAATTTTCTTATGGGTAATTCTATTCACAACCCTCTTTTTACTAAATACACACACTTATTTTCGTACTAAATTTTAATTTCTATCATGCCCTAATACTTTAACGCCGTTTTCTGACTTCCTGTCTGAATTTTTGTTTGAAATTCATTAGCCACTACAGAGAGCCACATCTCCTAACAATACTCAAATGATATATTAAATCTTCAAATAAGATTTCAAATAGGACATGGAATCCTAAAATCTTCAAATCGAATCCAGAATCCTGAAATCTTCAAATGGATTTCAACAAAAATTTCAATTCTCAAGCCCTAATTGTGAATTCGTGATGCTCAGATACATGGGAATCTCAATGCCCCAAGCCTCCATATGCCTCTACGCAGCATGGTATGGCAACATACAGATTTGCTTAACATCTCCGCCATCGGAGCCCTGACCTGCTTTATCATCTTTGTCTTAATCAAACTTTTTAGCGATCACAGACGCATGTCGGGACCGGCCGCAATAGTCTGCAAGTTCCTTGCTGCATAGCGCACTAGTGCACTACTGGCGGTGAGATCGCCCGCCACTGTGGTGCGGCTGCCGCCCAATTTCTCTTCATTGAAGGAGGGAGCTCCGGCAGTCTCATCTTCCTTGCAATTCTTGTCGTCACTGTCATTCTTCCGCTAAACATATATGCTGATCGTTATATTGACTAAGGGTATATTAGATAATTGAGTGGTTTAGGGGCTGTACTTAGTAAAATATGGGTTGTATTTAGAATTACCCTTTTCTTATAACCATCTCAAGAATTGACTTAAGAGTAGTGAATGATAGATTTCATTCACGGAGTTGAGGGGCAAGTGTCGCTGTGTCGGTCAGCTGGTCTGGCATTGTTAAAAATTTACTATAGATTTTAATGAATTAATTGCACTTTTGGTCCTACGAGTTTTGTGTTAATTTCACCTTTAGGTCTACATCTTTTACTTTATCCACTTTTGGTACTTGATTATTGTTTTTTGACCATTTGTGGTCCTTTTCTAGTGATTTTGACCATCGTAGACAATGGCAGAAGGACCATATATGAGCGAAAATACAACAATCATGTATCAAAAGTGGACAAAGTGAAAGATATGGACTAAATGTGGAATTGACCTAGAACTCATAGAACCAAAAGTGGAATTTTTTCGATTTTAATTTTTAACTAAATTTTGGTTAGTTAGAAATAAGTTGTCCTTCAAACTCTCAGAGCCACAACCAACTGTCCTACACACTTAGAATGTTTTTAATTGGATTCAAATTATCTTATCTGGTCTGATCTGATAAGAAAATTGTCCAACATAGGACCAAAACTCAAGTTTCTTCCCAAAAATAGCACCATAGACATGCTTTCCCCTAAATAAGACTAACCTTATCATTTTTACCCCTAATTCTATTCAATTAATTAATTGACCTAAGTAATTGCCCCCTAATTTCCTTGCACAACCAAGGCAGTCCGTCGGTGGCAGGGCAGTCCGTGGTGGCGGCAGCGGATGCCGACAGCGGCAAACTCCGGCGGGGCAATCTCCGTCGGCGGCAGAAATGCTGGCAGACCGCCAGAAAAAACTGAAAGTTTTCCGGCTGCAACGGCCATATCTCTGGCGGCGGAGACCGGTGGCGGTTTGGCAGCGGAATCGGGCAGCGGTCCAGGTGAAGAGCAGTGTAGGTATTTTGGTCTTATCACATATAAAAAATCTTATTTAAGGATGTATTTTATAAGTGTGCAAGTTTGATTAGGGGTGGGATCGAGTCGGGTTGGATCGGGTTTTGGTTAGGACCGTTAATAACCCGAAAAAGCTTCAGGTTCTACATTTTTGGGCCTGATCGGAGGACAAATACTTTCGGGTTGGTCCAGGTTTTAAGAGCCTCGGGTTCGGGTCGGTTTAAACCCGGAAAAAAATAGAATTGAGATATCTAAAAACTATTGAAATACAATCACAACAAAAATTGCAAATATCTAAACTTCTAAACAAAAAATATGTGTAGTATATTCAAACCAAATGAGTATATTTTAAATCTAAAGATCACACGATAGAAAATATTGTAGAAGAATAATTGGTTTGAAAGCAAAGTAATGTTTCCTCTGTTCCAAATTGATTTACAAAATAAAGTGTTTTTGGTCAACCAATGTCAAAGTTAAATCCTCCATATTGATACTTAATTCAATTTTTAATAATTAAAATTTACATATTCAAAAAGTACATTAGAATCTCTTCAAAGTTGCAAACTCCAAATTAAATATAATTAAAAATTGGTATCGAAATTAAGTGAATAAACTGAAATTATTTGACTAAAAAAGTCAATTTTGCAAATGAATTTGTGACGGATGTAGTATAAAATAGTCCATACGTAATATATAAGGAGTATAAAATTGGTATGATGTATTAATCAGTCATACATATTTTATGTAAAGTATACTCCGTATATTTTTTTTAGTTTGTTAATTAAGAAGCTGTTCTCTTCACCTGATCTGAATGTTTCTGATCTGAATTTTTTAAGTTCTGATTTGATCTGATCTGAATTTTTCTGATCTGATCTGATCTGAATCTTTTTGATCTGATCTAAATGTTCCTGATCTGATCTGAATGGTCCTGATCTGATCTGAATGTTCCTGATCTGATCTGAATGTTCCTGATCTGATCTGAATGTTTCTGATCTGATGTGAATCCTTCTGATCTGATCTGAATCTTTCTGATCTGATCTGATTTGAATATTTCTAAAATTATAATTATAATTATAATTACTATAATTATAAATGTAATTACACATATATAATTTAAATATAATTATAATTATAATCATCATAATAATAAATATCATAATAATAATAATCATAGTAATCATAGTGATCATAATAATAATAATTATAATAATAATAATAATATCAATAATAATATTAATTATAATAATTACAATAACAACAAGAATAATAATAATAATAATAATAATAATAATAATAATAAAAATTATTATTAATATTATTATAATAAGAGGGACAAATCATGTCTGAACTTTTCTGATCTGATCTGTATATTCCTGATCTGATCTGAATGTTTCTGATCTGAATCTTTCTGATCTGATTTGAATGATTCTGATCTGATTTGAATCCTTCTGATATGATCTGAATTTTTCTGATCTGATCTGAATAAAATAAGAATAAACAATAAGTAATAAGATTAAAACGAACAACTTCTAAATCTGTTTTCTTTCAGTCCGAGTCGAGTTTAAAATTTTAGAACCCGAATTAGGACGTTAGTTTTTGGGTCGGTTCCGGAGTGACTGTCCAAAGTCAAAAATCCTTACCCGAATAGTTACCCGAATAGTTGCTCGTAGAGACGGTAGAGTAGCAGCTGGCTCCTCCAGTGCTCCACCTCCACCTCGCAAGTTCAGTCACCGTCGCCCGCCGTCGTACCAGCCTCCAGCCTCTTGAGTTCCAGTCGGCAGTCAGCCCCAGAATCCATAGATAACTGATCCACCTGTCCACCAGGCACTAGTGCACCGCCTCCACGATTCCACAGCAGCACAGCTCCACTCCTGGTTAGCCTCCTCCTACACAAATTGCAAATTTACAACCTAAATTTTCTAAATCTAATCTGAAATTCATATTCATTTCCCAATTCCCACTGCCTGCCTTTTGGTTAAATGAAAATTGAAATTTAGAAAAAGTTGGGAGATATGTTGTGCGGTTTAGTGGATTGATTGGATTCTAATATTCTACGGAGTAATATAATTGAATGTCTTAATGTTGGCAACATATTTTTTCTCAATTTTGTTCAATTTATTGGTGTTTTGTCCAACATTTGCTTAATTTATGACTTCAGTAATGAGTCTAATGACAAATTTTTATATTATTTTCAGAAAAAACATTATCACTAGGAATAATCAGTTGCTGTAGGAATTTTCATAAATCTTAATAATACAAAATGTCTTACTTTTTATTCAATGTAGTTTTTTGTTGTTGAGAAATGTACATATGTAGAGTTATTGCATCACACAATATTACTTTTCTTAATTTTAGCTTTAAAGTAATTTCGAACACCCAAATTACAAGTTCTAGATCCGCCATTGATATTGAGGGGGAGTGGAGAGATATAAAAATATTTAGTTGATCATTATTAAATTTATTTTTATTATAAACTGATATCCTAGATTAAATTAGGAGATTTGTAATTGCATTAGGAGAATTTGTGCATACTTACTCTTTCCTCTATTAAGTTAGTCCAGGCCTATAAATTGTAACTAGCTGGTGCATTTTATTCTTCAAGTGTTGTCTTAGATTTAAAATTGAAAAGTTATTTGCTGGAAGTGGTAATCTAAAAAAAATCTGTAGTATTTCAATATATTAATTAGTTGTTGAATAAGATGCATATTCATTAAAAACATAAAACATAATTGTTGAGGAAGCTACAAAAGGAAAGTAAAACATGACTGCTGGGGTTTTTGTTGAGTTTTGAGTTAGTATGTTCTTTTATAGGCTAGTGGCTTAGAGCAAATTTAGGTCCTCTGTGTTTGTTTAATGCTTCCCAAATGATTGAGAATTATGATGGTTGGCAATGCCATCATTCCCTAAGGGTCTGCCTGTCTGATTTATTTTGACTCATTGTACTCTTCAATCTTCATCATCTTCTTTTAGTGCAGTTTGGTGCCTCATACACACACAGATAAGCAGAAAGGAAGAGAGTAGAGTGAATTGGTTTCAATCACAGGAAGAAATGAATCAGAAAGAAGCAATGCCACAGGACACTGCACCACTGGAGAAACGGCCAGGAGTCCTCCTTGTTGGATCTGCCAACGTTGGAAAACGTACCCTTGTCTCTCGTAAGTCTTTCTATCCCTTTCTTATATATGCTTCAGGAACACATTGACTTGCACAATGTATCTGTGGTTCTTTATGGCTCCCTATAATTTCATTGAGGTCGAGTATGTTTCGTAGCCTAACATATACACGGTTATTCTATGCTTGAATCTTGAATTGCTTTCTACATTTGAGCTGTAGCAATTCGGGGGGGGGGGGGGGGGGGGAAGCTTTGTCTGAGCTGCAATGTGCCCAAGATCTACTCATCGAGTGGGATGGTTTGGGGTTGTCTATTGAAAATTAAACTAGGGAAGTTCATTTAGAATCGTTTCTATGGAACTGTGTAATGGGAAAAATAAAATGGAGCTTTTGTGTATCATGTGAAAAAATCTAAATTCAACTAAGAAAATTTGAAAATTCTTATTTGTAATAAAAAACCATTAGGATATCTTACAATTAATACATAAAGTATCAAAGTTCCCCATCTAGGGTTCTTTGTGTCATAAAAACTAATTTCCCTACCAAGAGACCTACCAAGCATGGCGAACTAATCCCATCTTCTCTAGTTCTCTATAGAAAACAATCCCTTTTTGAGAAGAATGATGTAAACAAACACCCGCTACCTCCGGAATAGGACTTTCTGGCGCTTAACACCCTTGATTTTAACTGTTATCCACTTATTACTCAAACCTTTTTGCCCCCATCTCTCCACTCCAAATTTCATTCATCTACCTTAAATTCATTCAAGATGGGACTTAGTTTATCATTAGTTCTACCTGTATCACATAAGAACCATAGCTTACAAGTGCACAACATAAGTGCAAATGTGCACTAATACCTATTTCCAGTATTGAGTATAAGTTGTTTGGACTTCATTCACATGATTATAAAATTAGAACTGACAAGTTAACTCTTAACAGTCTTAAGAGTGTACTTCCATATTTTCATCATTTGTCCCCTAAAAATATTACCATTGTCACATTCTGTGCATATCTTAATTAGCATTTAATGCGTTTTCAGAATTTGAAACTTTATAAAGAGTAGTTTTGTTTTTTACTATCATGTTCATTGTTAGTGTCTAAGTATCTCAATGAGGAGGATTTTGGCAAATTATGTACTCTCGTTTTGTGGATATTTATCTCATAGAGCCATTTTTCAACTTCTTAATGTATGATGTGTAGGATTGCTCTCGATAGATTTGGAAGACACCACTGATACAACATCTGGGTTACTTGCCTTTGGGTAAGTTGACAATAGGTTGCTCCTTATACGGTGACCCTTGTTTAGCCCCCTCCCTCCCCAATATAAAAAGAATGGCTTTGGGTTACCTTCAGGTGGTCAATGAACACAAAATACTACACTGCTGATGTTACTGTTTGGTTGGCCAATCTCCATAAAAAGTTTTCAGTCCGGTCTCTTCCAATATTTGATCAGTTGGCTGCGTTGGTGATGGTTTTTGATATAAGTAATGTTAGTCTCACCCTTTCTGTTTGTATTATCAAACTCGAGTAAACCTTCCTCTCATGAACCTATGACTCTTCAGTGTTCACCTGCAGGTTTCATCTTTTATTGAACTTAAAGATTGGGTGTCTCACACGGATATTCAGAAGTTTGATATTTTGCTATGCATTGGCAACAAAGTGGATCTTCTTCCTGGTCATTCAGGTCACGTTGAGTATAGACGCCGGCTGCTGAAATATGCAGAATCTGCTGGTAGTTCATACACTGAAATATTTAACTCTGGCATTGACGAGACAGAAGGGAGTAATCTATTGGGAGGTGAAGATGAATCCTCATTGGGGATTAAGAATGCCTGCATGGAATGGTGCAGTGAACACAACATAGAATATGTTGAAGCATGTGCATCGAATGTTGATTTTGACAAGTGTAAGAGTTATACTCCCTCCGTTCTCTAATAACTGTCTCGTATTCCTTTTTGGGAAGTTTTAATTATTTGTCCCTCTTTCCTTTTCTAGTAAGTTTTTTCCAATCAAAATACCTTTATACCCCACTTTTATTACCCTTATCCCTTTTTACTTTTACATACTACATTCTCTCCCTACTTTATCATTACTTTACTCTTCTAAATATATTCTCTTTCCTACGTTTTCATTTACCCTACACCCTCTATACTACCCCTGCTATTTTCTTCTTAAAAACCACAAAAAGCCTAAGGAGACTATTATTTAAGAACGGAGGGAGTATTATTTTATGCACTACTACTGCTTATTATTCCTCTGCTCTTATTTTCATGCCCATACACATGCATACATATGCAACTACTCCAAATCCCTCCATTTGACCCTTCACAAAATCCATCACCTCTACAAGATTGAAACAAACCCTCGAGGGGATTGGTATCAGTAAGCAGGATTGATAAAGGGTCCACCTTAGGGTATTATGGCATTTTCAACGAAGTGGTGAGTGGGGTAACAATGTAACATGCTCAAGGTAGAACACACACACACAGACACACACGCATAATGGTGCCGTTTGGTACTCAGCAGGTGGAGTGAAAACACCATTATTTTACATGGGAAAACGCTGGTGATACCAGCGTTTTGGGTGGAAGGGGTTCCTTTGATGGGGCTTCCATTTATTCAGGGTTGAGCTCTTATCTGTTTGTTGCTTTCCTTTTTTTTTTTTTTTTCTTTCTTTCTCTTTTTTCCTTCTTTTGTCTTGTACTTTTTACTGTCCTCTTTTCTTTAATAAAATGTTTCCTTTCTTAAATAAATAAATAAATAAAATAAAAACAAAAAAACCAGCGTTTTGGGTGGAAAACGCTGGAAAACAAACATCCCCAACGAGTTATAGTGAAGAATGGCTTGTTCTAAAAAGTTTTCTTCTTATTTCGACTTAGCATTGTTATTCGAGCCAAGCCGAGTACCACATTTTTTACCTCGACTTAGCATTTACCTATTTAAGAATAGATTGAACTCTGCTTGTTGGTATTTCGAGCTCAGATCGAAGCTTGATCTTGATTCGTTTCAAGCTCTCTCATAGAGTCTTAAGCCTGACGAACCACATGTAATTTTGTAATATTAACATTCGCGTAACAATAATTCAGGTTAAGTGATTATTATACCCTAATTATGAGTCCAAATTCAGTTTCTAACCAAGCCACTTGCTTATTAACTGTATATCAAATTGAGTGGGAGCTAGACTCATTTTCTTGAATAAATGACCTGAGCTGAAGCCTTAGCGAGCCAAATCGAGTTGGACACATGCTCATTGCCTCATTTGTATAGAAGCTCTAGGATCTCACACATAAGCAATACAAACCTCTGAGATGTTCAGCTTACCCCAAAGTCACATTGGTGAATGTGATTCTGGGGCCACCTAGACTGCTGCTTTGTTCATATATAGGTGTCCTTTGGGGTAAGAGATAATGAGATGTTTTGAAATGCATGTGTAATGTACATTTTCAGGTTTATCTGTTGATGGTGATTCACAGGGCGTCGAGCGACTTGAAGGGGCACTATCGGCATATATGTGGCCTGGAATGGTACTAAAGTCTGGTGATAAAATAAATGCACCTTCATTACCCCAAGATCAAGGTTTCATTATCTTCGAGCATCTTTGATTTGCTATCAAAATTTCATCTTCATATCATTAACCTTTGTTTGGTTGAGGAGAGAGAATTATAGAAGTATGTGAAAGGATAGGAGTAAAAGGTTGTGAAAAACTGTGAGTTTTATGTATTACTTAGTACGGAGTAATACATTTACAAGAGAAACAATGACGAGAGAAATGAGATGTAAATGCAAATGCTAACATTGACCAGCGAAAATCCCCTTAATCTTCCTGCACTTTTCTTTGGTCACACGGGGAGATAGAAAAAGAGCAACAATAAACTACCTGTTTAATTTTGTTACATATGGCTTTGAAGTTCGTCCATGAAATTTCGACGCATTTTTCACTATGGGTCATCCGGAAACAGTCTCTTTGTGCTTTAGTACAAAGGTAAGACTGCGTACATCCGACATCCCTTACCCCACCATAGGTGGAAGCCTTTGAGGCACTGGGGTGATGATGATGATGATGGCTTTGAAGTTAGTCATACAAAACAAAATTTTATATGGAAAAATAAGAATAGCTACTGTAGTTGCGATTTGCGAAGTAGCAGTGCTGTGATTTCTACTATCTTCTGTAGAAGAGATGTTGGTGCTTGATAGTAGCTCCAGCCATTGGTGGCGGTGTTAGGCTGTAGCAGTGGTTGTTAGCGGTGGTGTTAGGCAGTAGCAGCAGTCATCAGAAATGGAAGCGGTGGGGAGTGCTACCCTCATACACGCTACTGTCACAGTGACTACTGTAGTACTGTCAAAGTGTTATTGACTCACTTTTGTTCGTATTTGTATATAAATGTTGAGGGTAGGATGTTGTATATATGAATTTAGTCAGGTTAGGGTATATAATTTTCTCATAATAAAAAATATGAGGGCCCCCGACTATAATCTTTTCTTTCTTATATTCTTCCATCCCCAAACAAAGGATTTTTTTTTTTTTTTTTTTTTTGAAAAACAGGAATGGGGTTCTTTCTTTTTTTCTTTCTTTCTTTCTATCTTGTCTTTTTCTCTTTGCTCTAAACCTGTATTGAAGCACAAACCATTAGCGCTTTTGTTACCACTATCACACTATGCAGACGTGTCAGATGAAGAATCTGAATATGAACTGGAATATGAAATCCTATCCGCCGGTTCTGAGGATCGATGGGAGGACAACGCAGGAGGAGGCTGGGTATCTGCAGATGGTCCTATTGCAATCACTGAATCAAGCAAACAAAAGGAGAGTGGTAGTGAAGAAGGCAATTATAGTGAAATGAATCTCGTCATTGGAGACAACGAGCTCCCAAAACCAGAACAACCTTGCCTGCAGGGAATGGTTGGAGAAGTAGAATTGCTGGGAAAATCTGAAACTGATAACGACACAACAACATACAAATTTGAAGATTTGGAGCAGCTAATGGGTGAGATAGGGAACATGCGTGATAGTTTGAGGTTGATGCCGGATTTTCAGAGGAGGGAGATGGCGGCAAATCTGGCCATGAAGATGGCATCCATGTTTGGGGATAGCAGTGGAGATGAAGACGGAATGTAGTGATTCAAGACTGACTGTTCTTGTACACATTTGTTATTTAATAATGTACTAAATGTCTCATGTATACACCATCATTGAACTTGTGTTGATTTAATTTGTTACACCCTATAATGTTTTATTGTTAGTTATTTTTCAGTTTCGTTTGCCACTTGCTATGTGTAATAGGTCTAACGGGGAGAAATGCTATGACAACTGACTGTGTCTGCGGTTAATGTCTGAATTAGTTGGCATTTGTAACTATGTAAGTAAACATTAGGTTTAGGTTGCTAGAATTGAAATACTCCTTCAATTAGGTTTAGCTGTTTAGGTTTAGGTTTAGCTAATGTAGTACTTCGTATTTGCTAAATTCAGTAGACCTGCTTAGTGAAAAGACTAAAAATATGGCTGGGAACTGAGAAGTGTAAAATGACCTAAAAGTAGGCCCGGGACCGGTTCGGTTCTTACTCAAAATAAGTGGAACCGTTATAAAGTTTTAACTAATGAAATCGGTTCGGTTCCAATATAAAAAATCAAGAACCGTTATGGAACCGAACCGGTAGTAAACGGTTCGGTTCTTCCTTTTACCGGTTCCTAGAATAATTTTTTCTCGTCTAAGAATTAACACATAATTTAAACACGTCGAAAATTCAAAACACGAGTATTAAAATTTTATTTGAAGCTCTAATCACTTCAAACATCAAAGCTCAAACTTAACTAATTTACTTTGAACACTTAATAGAACAAAAGTGATTTAAATTTTCATGTAATAAATGAAACATTTAAAATCGTTGTAGTGTCGGAGCTATGAAGGTTACTCGTCATCATAGTAGCAAGAATATGACGCTTACTTCAAGTCTTTCAAAACATAAAAAAAGACATAAAATTTGCATGTATAGATATAAAAAAAATTATTACATTCTATTGATTCATAATAAATCTAAAAATTAGAAATATCATGCAAATAGTAAAGTAAAATATGTGCAATCAACTACAAATTATTTGGGTTATTTTATATTTATAAAATTTATGTGATGGAACAAAACTTGATTTGTAGAAAGGAGTTTAATGTATTATATCAACCTCATGTACAATATTTATTACTTCGTTGATTAAATTAGAATTCTTAGTTAAATATCTTATATTGTTTTATTATTATTTTTGTTGTGACTGTGGTTATTATTGCTATTATATCATTATTATTATTATTATTATTATTATTATTATTATTATTATTATTATTATTATTATTATTATTATTATTATTATTATTATTATTATTATTATTATTATTATTATTATTATTATTATTATTATTATTATTATTATTATTATTATTATTGTTGTTGTTGTTACTACTACTACTACTAATATTATTATTATTATTATTATTTAATAGCGGTTCCTTAACGGTTCCATGCACATATTTTTTATAGGAACCGGGAACCGAACCGTTATAACCCGCTTCGGTTCGGTTCCTACAAATGAGGCATTAATTGTTAACGGTTCGGTTCCTAGATGTTGTTCACGGTTCGGTTCCAATCGGTTTTACGGTTCCCGGTTCCAAAATCCCACCCCTACCTAAAAGAATGTATTTTGTAATGCAAAATGTAGTTTTAATGTACTACCTCCGTCCCAGGGAGAAGTTCCCAATTTCCTTTTTTGGCAGTCCCAACAAGAAGTTCCCATTTCCCTAAATGGAAAGTTATTCTACATCAAAACAGTGCTAAACAGTGCAAAACAGTGTCGAAACAGTGCCAAACAGTGTCGAAACAGTGCCAAACAGTAAAATTTACCCCCCAGTAACTTTATTTCCTTAATATGTGTGAAAGTCAACCCGAGAACTTCTCCCTGGGACGGAGGGAGTAAAAGATTAACTGCAATTTTATACAAACAGTCTACAGTAATTGGTAGGAATTGAGATGCTGGAAGCCTGGAACACTGATTTTTTTTATTCAGTTTAACGCACCTCAGCCTACCATTCCAAATTCCAATTTCCAACTGAGGTTGAAGTTATAGTAAAATTCCACATCTTTAAATATGGTCTTTAAATTCCATTTTGGTCCCATGAGTTTTAGGTCAATTCTATTTAGTCCACATCTTTCATTTTGTCCATTTTTTATACATGACTATTATGTTTTTGGCTTTTTGTCCATATATGGTTTTCGAAATTATTTCTGAGGGTTAAAATCGTCAGAAAAGGATCGCAAACAGTAAAAAAAAACATTAGTCAATTATCAAAAGTGGACAAAATGAAAGATGTGGACTAAATGTGGAATTGACACAAAATTCATAGGACCAAAAGTTAGAATTAATTCAAATGATAGGTACTTATTAGTGCATTTCAGTCCAAATTATGTTGGAATGTCATCTTAAACGGCACACTACGCAAATTATACGGTGCAACCGGCATACCATGCGCATGGTATGCCGGGTCGGATACGGCATCGTTTTTATTAATAAAAAACAAAACGGGTATCATGCCCTAGCAGAGCAACTCGTCAAGAGAGAAGCCCGGTTTCTAATCATATGGTCGCCATCCCTGGAGACCTTTGCTCGTGCTATGCCGTCTGTCACCAGGTGTTGAAGACGAAGTCAAATCTTCCCATCGCCCCTGTGTAGTAGCTGTCATGCCCTTGTGTTTAATCATGTGAATTCAAACCTTCCAATCACCGACACTCATCTTCCCCAACAAAACAAGTGAAAAACATTCCATCAAATACTTCATATACGAATTACGAAGTATTTAAAGAGGAGAAACAAATAAGAAATTTCAGTATATGAACTGTGTATATATATATGTGGTGTCTGTATATATACATTTTAATACATGGAGTTACATCTCTATAATGACGTTTTACATTTCAATGAGCTAAAGTTACATTCTCCAAGTTACATCTGACTTGTTTTAAAGTTACATTTCAATTAAAGCAGTTTACATTTCAACGAGTTACATTTGAATGAATGTAATTTACATTTTAATTAACCTGAAATTACATATTGGTTCACGCAATTTACATTTCATATAATTTTGGGAGCACCATGCTCATGCTACAACCGTACCACAGTATACGTACTGGCACACTACTGACACGTAATATGTTCGGAGCACTAGTATGATACACTGGTACCCTACCTTCTGATGTAGGCGTCTAATTAGGAAAACTTGCCACCTGCCAAGTTGAAAGCCCCTAGCTATGGCGGCAGAGATAACCCAAACTGCTTCACCGTGTTCAATTAGTTTTCCCTCTTATGTTTCCCATTGAGACTCTTCTTTATCTTTCTTCTCATCTTCCATGACGGAATCTACCGCCCCGGCGTGAATTCTGCTTCTTCTGTCCTCCTCCTCTTAGCCTGCTTCTCCTCACACTCTGTAATTCCTTCCACTTCTTCCATTCCTCCCCCGTCTCCACTCTCCACTCGCAGGGAAGATGCCCTTACCAATCTCGGATTCGACGCTGTCTCCGGCAGGGATTCTCCGGCGGCTCATCTGATAGTGTATAACACTCGGGAAGAAATGCAACTATAGAAGAAGACCCGACGAGATTCATGGTATTTTTTCCGATATTCAATATTTCCGCCTCCTCTTTCCCCCTCATTAACTCACTGCCAGTTGCACTAGATTTTTTCCGATATCCAATTTTGCTTCCATGAACATGGTGAATCTGAAAAAACGTATATTCTACTTTTGCAACTCCACCGTTTCTCATCCTCTCTTCAAAATATGCCGTTAATTTAACCGTAAACGTACGGTAAAGCTCAAGAATCCCCTGTACGTGCAACTCGCACCAATTTTAGCACACCCGGATGCAAAATTGTCTTCTTATACAATGTTTTACCTTCATTTCATCTCTAGGAATTAATCTTTGTGTTACATCCGGCTTCAAATTACTTCCATCGTAATTCCAAAATAACATAAGAAGGTGAACTGAACTTTCATCGGAAAGAGACGGCCGCTTAGAGATTTCGGAGAAACTGTTAGCAAACGAAGAAGAAAAGAAACACACAGTGCGAATGCTACATAGAATTAGTTACATGCCACTTGGATATGAATAAGCCCATTTAAATATCTTTAATTAGTCAAAGGTATTGATTTCTCATATTAACTAAAGAAGAGGATATTTAAATAAGAGATACAAGTTTAGGGTGTGGACATCACACCTACCTAAAGTTGAGGGTATTTAATTTATTTTCTCCTAATTAATTCCATTTCGTACCTCCTGCCCTGGAATATTCGCTCTGGTTGGACTCCACAGTCCACACACCCCAGTTTTTTTTACTCCGCATTTTTTAACCCAGAAGGCAAACTACTAAAATCAGTGAGGTAAATGTCGGGAAACATTTACCGAATTTTATTAAAAGAGGAAGAGGTACAAAAGGTGGAGGGGACTATACCAATACCCCACCCGAGAAGGCATACCTTCCCAAAAACAAAAAGTACCAAACGATAAAAAATTGGGGGACTAAACTAAGGATGGACCGGTTCCAGGCCGCCCGAACTGGGCCTTGCCTGGCACCGTTTGGAACCGGCCATGCCCGGGGGTTATATAGGGCGGGCTCGGGTCAGCCAAAATAGGAACCGGCCCGGCCGGGCCTGGTTTGGGCCTATTTTTTTTTGTTTTTTTTTTTTGTTTTTCCCGGGTTGGGCTAGGAATTGGGGGGGGGGGGTGAGGGGGGGGGGGAGTAGGGGGTTAATTAGAAAAGCAAAGAAAAAAATGAACCGCCCTGAATCCGGTGGATAACCGGCCGGTTCCGGGCCTCAACTTTCCCCAAAAAACTGGTCAGGCCCAGGCCCGGTCCATGCCTAGACTAAACCTGACCCAATTTTTTTTAAAAACAAAGAAACCATTTTTTTTTGGGGGGGGGGGGGTAGGCCTGAACCTAAATACAACTAAACAATTAACTAATTCTAAAACAAGGAAGCCCAAAAAGGTCCATATAATAAGAATTTCAGTCTCAGATCGGTAAAGAATCAGGTTGGGAATAAAAACTTTGTTGGGCTAATCTCCGATCCGCGAGATGATGAGCCCAGTTTGTCTCACGCCATGCGCTAGAAAAGGAAATTCCTCTCCTCTCAGACAGATGTCCGCACACCCTAGTATAACATTCTTTTAGCCCTTTGTTTGATTCATAGGAAGAAATAACTAATGAGATAAAAAAGATATATAAGATAATTCTTTTACCACTATCACCCTACTATAACATTCTTTTAGCCTTTGTTTGGGAAGTCTTACAATTTCTTGTGTTTTAGGATGTAACACTTGAGATTAATATAAAAGGATTAATAGTACTACTCATACCAACAAAGGTGTATCTCCAAAGTAAAGCGTGCTTGCGCGGGAGTAGTCTTGAGATGGGTGTCCCCTGGGAAGTTTCTCTGGACGCACACGAATGAAGACAAAGTGCGCGATAAAGACTTGTGGTATTCTTAAAAATTGCACGCTTTTTGTAACACGCTTGTGGGGGTGTTATGTTTCCTCTCAAAGTGCACTTTGAGTTCCCACAAAAGCGTCCTAATATTCTAATTCTTCAATGCGTCCTAATATTCTAATTCTTCAATTTGGGAGAAGGGAGAACTATTAACTGACATATTGAAATCAATAAGGCAATATTTAGAAAATGCTCTTGTTGATTCTTCCCAAGTAGGCTGGATAGCACGAACGCTATTCGGGCTAGCTATGTCACTTGGTGACAATGTTCCCTGGGTTGACCCCAAGTAGCGGAGATGTGCCGAATGCTGTTCGGGCATCCTGACCGGGGTGTCTTGTACCGCTTTGGGCCACTTAAGGCGCCGAATGAAGGAAGAAGATGAAGTGAAGGCGATCCGACCTCCTCATAAACCGCCGCCGGTGGTTCTTGGAAGGTTGAGTGAAGAAATTTATTTTTTTGCTTTTATTTATTTTAATGGTCTGAATTTATCTATGTTTGTTTGTTGTTTTATCTCTTTCGATTGTAAGACTGTGTTTTTGAATTTGGATGTGGCTGATGGAATGACCTCGATAACCGTCCTTTGTTCATTTGTGCCATTAATGGATTAACTAGTTATATTGCTGCAGTGCTAAACTTTGAGTCTGATTCGAGGGACGACAGTTGTCGGAAGTTTTTGTCGAATACTCGAATTACCTACTATCTGAATGATGCGTTATCAATTTAAGCCGATTTCTTAAAAAAAAACAGTTTACTTACATATTCATTCATAATATTAAGATAAGACATGAAAGTTTGATCCATTTTTTTTTTAAATTAGAGACCTTTTTAATAGGTTGGTGTTTGCTGCCATACCCGCGACGTCGCCGGACGGAATTCGCCAGCACCTCTTAATTTCGCCGGACCCATACCATCATCTTCAGTACTCTATAGTAACTAACTCAGCAAATAGAATAAAGAGAGTGAAGAGCATTGACTGAGTTTGAAATAACCAGGAGAACGGAAGAATTAACTCGGCAATCAAACTCATAGCGGCTCTGATATCTTTTCATGATTCTATCCTTTGGAAGAGGTGTGAGAAATCAATAACAATCAGCTTCTCTCACTGGTCGGCGTTCAAATTCACCTCCGTATGGTTATAATGCTTGCGATTTTCGGCACCTGAGATGCTGTATTTCTCCAATCAGGTTGGTTTATGCAAATTATCGCGATATATGAAAAGTAAAACCCTAAGCATTTCGAGTTTTCGCCTTAAAGTTGCTGCGCAGTTCATAATTGTGTTATTTGAGCTATTTATCTTCACTATTGAACCAGCTTCTTTTTCAGTCGATTAACTGACATATGAAATTGTGAGCGCAAGTCATCGAGCTGAAAATCTTCAAGCTGAAAATCTAAAGTTTTATGGGGCCATTAATCTACTAATTCTTTATATGGAATTATGGATTCAAAATTTCCCCTCATTTTCCTGCTATTATGTGTTTGGGTTGGCTCTTCTTAAATCCTACTCGTTTAAGAAAATTTGTTCATATATGAAACTAATGAAAGTATTATTTTCACAATCACATTAAATATTATGTGTGTGTATAAAGGGTAACTACAATATTTTCTGCAGCAGACTTTTCTGTTCTGTGTCTCAAACCATCCCATTAGTTCTCATGACAATAGTTTTCCTGAAGTACAAATACACAATAAATATTGTGCCCCTAAGAGGTTTTTTCACATCAATAACGTGCTAAAAGATGGCATGGAGTTTTATGGCCTGGATAATAAATGTGAGGTTCATTAGATAGATTTGGCTTATGTGGATTGTCATTGTGCCACTTCGTCCACTGAGAGTATTTCTTACTTGTGCATTGGTAATTTTCTGGAAGGATTTAGACAAACTAAGTTTCTCACTGTCTGTTTAATGTTTCCAATATGATTGCAGATGAACTGTAGTCTCATAATTCTTTTAATCTTTACTAGACGATTCCTTGATTGTTGCGCTAATAATAGGGAGATAGTAGGATGTCCTCTCCTTTTGAAGCAGCACTTCTAGTGTAGACAATGATGCAGGCCATGCCTTATACTCTCATGCTATCAATTATTTTACCTTTTTTCTTTCCATACTCCTTTAACTCATAAGAAAAGACTTGCGTTTTTATTTTTAAAAGTTGAAAACTACATTTGAGCTTTTAGTTTTTTGGATATATTCATGATGGAAATGGTTTTTTCAAAAGGAAAATCGATTTGTTTTTATTTTTTAAAGAAAAGGCTAGAATATTACACCAAGGAGCGTGTGCTCACACATGTGTTTCTTTATTTTGTTATGACATTATCATCTCTCCAAGAAAATCAGTTCTGCGGCTGTGATTTTTTGATTCCCGATTAGCATTAATTAACTCGATTGATGTATGGTTGATTGTCTCAAGAACATGAGTCAGGCCTGTACAGGATACATGTGTTGTACTTGCTTTGAATTTGAGCAATTATTATTGTATGCTTTTGTTTTGAATAAAAAAGGTGCTGCCAAAATTGCCAGAAAATGATGCTATTTTTTTGAAGCCGGTTTTTGTACTATCATTTCACCTAAAAAAAATCCCGGAGTTTCTCTAATTATGTTGTTTCAACATTGTGTCTCAGACACTGATATTATGAATAGAGAAGATTTAGGGAACATAATGACTGTAAGAGAAAAGCCAACATGTGCGGCTGTCCTGAAGAGCAATGCTCACCACAATGATGAAAGAGAGCCTAGCCTTGAACCCTGTGTTGGCTTGGAATTTGATTCAGCAGAAGAAGCACAAGAGTTTTATAATCTCTACGCAACAAAGGCTGGATTCAGGATCAGAATTGGTCAGCTGTACAGATCCAGAATTGACGGCTCGGTAATTTCTCGAAGATTTGTGTGTTATAAGGAAGGGTTCCAGACCAACACAAGAGTTGGCTGTCCGGCTTTCATAAAGGTACAGAAGGGTGATTCTGGAAAATGGGTCATATGTAGTATCAACAAGGAACACAATCACGAACTCCAACTCCCTGGTGAAATTTCACCCACAAAAATCCACAGAAAAACGCCTCCCACTCCAAGAACGTCTCGAGTGCTGTTAGCTAGGACAGGTCTTAGATCACTTGATGAGGATGGACCATCCGGATTGCTTGACGCTAAACGGATTAGAAGGGTTGAAGATGAAGAAGAGGTTAGCGGTGAGCCTAAAGGTGAAGAACCATGCAAGGGTCTTGAGTTCACTTCTGCCAACGAAGCATACAAGTTTTACAGCGCATATGCTGCTAAGACAGGGTTTAAAGTGAGGATCGGTCAGCTATTCCGTTCCAAGCTTGATGGATCAATCACATCGCGAAGATTTGTGTGCTCTAAAGAAGGACATCAGCACCCTTCAAGATTGGGGTGTGGGGCATTCATGAGGATACAAAGGCAAGAGTGCGGGAGATGGAAGGTTGACCGCTTTCAAACCGAACACAACCATGGATTTGATGTACCGGACACTTCGGTTTTATTCAAAGAGGAAGGAAGCAGTGGGTTAGATAATTTGGATTTCATTGATTCGAACGGTGACCTCACCATCGTCCTCCGTGACCGTGAAGATAAAACTGGAAGCCATTGGTATAGTAAAATAACAAGCTACTACTTTTATTGATACAAGTTTTGAGTTTGACTTTGAACTTCACAATCTCTTGAGACTTTTACAATTCTTATATCGACAAAAATGGGACATAATCGAATGAGAAATGGAAATCACAATACTACTAAAATCAAGAGCTCGTTTAGTAAGACTACAACTAGCTGAATGATATGATATGATTTTTTTTAAATTTTTTGGCTTGATTGGCGGAATCTGTTGAAATAAGAAAAACGTACATTTAAAAATATCTTGTATAACTAAAGAACAAATTATATGAAAAAGTAGCTAATATGGTCCTCTGGACCTGTTCAACAAATTGAACCAATTCAGCCCAAAAAATACGAGCAACTTTTCTTTATTATTATTATTATTCACCAATTCAACGCATGGAAGCAAAACATTAGTGTTGGGTAAAAATCTGGTATTATAAGACAAAATATATGCTTTACCAATCGGGCTCTAAGACTAATGTATTTCTATAATCTCTATTTTCTATTGTTTAAAAGGTACAATGTGCTTCTAGAGTATTTCCAGACCCGGCAAGCGGAGGATACTGGCTTCTTCTATGCAGTCCAGATGTGTGATGGCAGGATGATGAATCTTTTTTGGGCAGATGGACGGTCAAGATTTTCCTTCACCCAATTTGGGGATGCCGTGGTGTTCGACACTACTTACAGGAGGGGCGGTTATTCATTTCCGTTTGCCTCTTTCGTTGGGGTTAATCATCATAGGCAACCCGTACTCCTTGGATGTGCCTTGATTGCTGATGAATCTGCAGAGTCTTTCACATGGGTGTTCCAAGCTTTGCTAAGGGCAACGTCCGGGAGGCGCCCCGTGTCTATTATAGCTGACCAGGACTGGCCCATTCAACATTCGATTTCCCAGGTTTTCCCCGGAACACATCACCGCTTTTCTGCATGGCAATTCTTTTCAAAGGAGCAAGAACACTTGGGTGGGTTACTCTCTCTGGATCCAAACTTTAAGTTTGAGTATGAAACCTGCATTTTCCAGAGCCAAACAGCACACGAGTTTGATGCGGCGTGGAATATTCTCATAAATAAATATAACCTGAAGGACGACATTTGGTTGAAAGATATGTCGAGGATGCGTAAGAGTTGGGTTCCTTTGTACATTAAAGCCACGTTCTTTGCTGGTATACCAGTGGATGGAAGCTTGAATTCATATTTTTCCCCAATTCTATCTCCCCAAACGCCTCTCAATGAATTTATACCACGTTACGAAAAGGCCATTGAGGAACGACGAGACGAAGAGAGGAAAGAAGATTTCAACTCGTTAAATCTGGCGACGGTTCTTCACACAAAAGACCCCATTGAAGAGCAATGCAGGAGGTTATACACCACAACAATGTTCAAAGTGTTTCAGAAAGAGCTTTTGGAGAGCTATGGCTATGTAGGGATAAAGATAAATGTAGAAAGCGCCATTACTAGGTACTTGGTCCAGAAGTGTGGGCCCAATTCAGATGAAAGGAGTACAGTTGCCTTCAATGCTTCGAATCTTAATATAAGTTGCAGTTGTAAGATGTTTGAGTTTGAAGGGGTACTCTGTAGGCATGCCTTGAAGGTGTTCCAGATGATGAATGTGAGGGAAGTTCCATCTCGATATGTATTGCATAGGTGGATGAAGAAAGCGAAGAATGGCATCTTAAGGGATGTGGAGTCCGCGGGTGGTGGGTACCAAGATTTTAGGGCACTTATGTTGTGGAGTTTGAGAGAAGAAGCTAATAAGTTCATCGAGATGGGAGCTACTAGTTTGGAGAGATACAAACTTGCCTTTGAGATCATGCAGGAGGGTAACAAAACTCTCAGGTGGCAAAGCTAGGAGGGTAGTGGTCTCAAATTTAGGTCAGGTATATGTTCATCTTTTTTACTGTTGCATTTGTCTTGATTACAGTGGTGAAAAAATGACAGAAGCTTTATAAGCTCTGAAATTCGTTTAATGTGTTGTCATTTTATTGAATGGCCGTTTCTGCCTCTGTAATGTATTGAATCATTTTCGTCTACCCCCTACCGGAAATATGAAAAACTAGACCCAGAAGGTGAACACCAAAAGCATACACCTTAGGCCTACTTGAAATTCAGGAGAAGAAATTCATGTAGATGTTATACATACATGTGTTGAATACCAATTATGTAAGAGATGATAAAACATGAAAACTGTTCACTTGTTTTGTAATGGAATAAATTACTCAATAGTTTTAAAAAAAGAGTCCTATTGCAGTTCTCCCAAGTACTATGCAGTTTTTGTCAATTACTACGAACAATCTTGTAAGTAAGTTTTATGGGTATATATAATATATATATACCCATATATATACTTCTTGGTTAAGTACACATCCTTTTGTTATGACCTTAATTAATGCTGCCATACATATTTGGAACATTTCTATATTGCTAAAATGGATTGGAAAAGGATAATTTTTTTTAATGCCTGAAGAGTGGATGGAAACCAAAAGCATAGTCTGTTTTCATGTGTACATAGGGCTGATAGGCCATTGCAAATTAGGGCAAATTTTTACAATAGATTGTTCCTCAGGCGAAGTTCGAGATTTGTGAAAAAGTTGACTCCCAACTCTTTAGCCGTTGAGTTTTTATTATATGCTCGAGATCGACAATGCAGAGCCGAGGATCCAGCGAGTGATTTGGTAAACCAAGGGAAAATAGTGCATTCTTTAAACAAATGGCTGTTGGAGATCCCTCTTACCAACAATACATAGGATTGTATACATTCTTTGCCTCATTTTGTTGTACTCCGTTGTATTTATGTCCAAGTCTAACTCGTTCTGAACTTCTGATGAACAAAATATTCTGTATATGTAATTAATGTTATCGCAAAGGAATAAAAAACAATTTTATCGATTTGAAGTTGTATTGACGCACTGTGTGTGTAAGTGTGTAACACTGTAAACACATGAACGACACTTCATTGAGATGTTTAGATAAAGCAGATCAACAAATGGATCATACTTTGGTCTTCGTAAAATTGGTCCAATGACTCCAATCCCATTGATGATATGATTTCACGTATTTTTTTAAGGATAATGACATGACATATTAATATAGTGATTCAAACACATATCAATCAGCATAATTTAAATCTAAAGGAAAATAAAATATAATTCCTTTTTTACATATACTTTTCTAAGGATTTGTATTACGAAAGTTAACCAAAGACATATTCCGGACTACGTATATGAAAAAAGAATGCATATAAATATTGGATTTGACTAATATACGAGTACTTTCCATGACATTTCTCTAGAGCCTTTAATATTAATACTAATAATAACAACAACAATGTATATCGTGCCCTTGAGGCGTCTCTGGGTTCACCATTCAGTCCTCCAATAGCTCCAAACCCCAATCCTTTAATTGTCGTGGAAAACATCCTTTTTCTTAGATTAAACATGGTAAACGTCATATATTTTAGATTAAACTAATTATTAATTACAATGTTGAACGAAGCCCACAATTTATAACATGTTTACTTATTGAGAAATATTGTAATGCTTGTATAGAGAAACAATGGGTAGCCTAAAACTGATGGACATATTATACAAAACAATAGAATTGGGAAATAATGGCTTACCCTATTGGGTGCCATAAGCTTATATTTATAATAAAACGTAATTAGGGTAATTACACATAAGTCCCAAGATAATACATTATTATACCCCCTCAATCTGTGCAGGGGAAACCACGTGCAGATTGGATCGTAAAAACTCAAAACGCTGACTAGATAAATTCTTTGTAAATATATCAGCGAGCTGGAACTGCGTGGGAATGTATTTTACCACAAGATCCCCGTGAGCAACTCTCTCTCGAACAAAGTGATAATCAATTTTGATGTGCTTGCTGCGATCATGCTGAATAGGATTGACAGCCAAGTAGGAAGCAGAGACGTTATCACAATATAACTGAACCGGGGCCGAGATCCGAATCCCCATATCTGCCAGAAGGGAGCGGACAAATAGAGTGTCTTGTACCGTATAAGCTATGACCCTGTACTCAGTCTCAGTAGATGACTTAGAAATTGTGGGTTGTTTCTTGGACCGCCAGGAAATTAAATTAGATCCCAGAAAAACTGCATACCCGGTGGTAGAGCGAGAACTGTCTGGACAACCGGCCCAGTCTGCATCAGAATAAGCTTTAATGACAGAAGTGTTTCGGTCAGACCGAAGCCATAATCCGTGACTCGCTGTACCCTGCAAATATCTGTAAATTCTCTTGACAACTAAAAGATGAGAAGTACGTGGAGCATGCATAAACTGAGATACCAGATGAACAGCATAAGTAATGTCAGGTCTAGTTATAATTAAGTACTGAAGGGCACCTACCATACTGCGATACTCAGTCACACCAGCTAACAGTTCTCCATCTGTGAGAGAGAGTGTAGTGCGAGAGGGAAGTGGAGTGCGTACCGACTTAACGGTATGAAGATGAAACCGATGTAATAGATCAGTAATATATTTAGTCTGTGAGAAAAATAACCCATGAGATGTGCGACGGGCCTGTATGCCCAGGAAGTAATGAAGGTCACCGAGATCCTTCATAGCAAACTGAAGGGAAAGGGTATGTATTACTGACTTAACAAACGATTCAGACGAGCCTGTAATGAGAATATCATCCACATATAAAAGAATATAGACAATCTGTGATTGTGAACGATAAATAAACATGGACGAGTCTGATTTACTTTGAGAAAAACCATTGCTCAATAGAAAGCCACTAAAACGATGAAACCAGGCCCGAGGGGCCTGTTTTAGACCATATAGTGCTTTTCGAAGACGACAAACATGATTGGGAAACAAAGGATGAACAAAGCCCTGTGGTTGACGCATATATACTTCTTCTGTTAGGTAACCATGTAAGAAGGCATTTTTGACCTAACAAACCATCCTAAGGAAATAGCAACAGATAAAATAAGGCGAACTGTGGTGGGTTTGACAACAGGACTAAAAGTTTCAGTGAAATCAATACCAGCTTGTTGTTTAAAACCCTGAGCAACTAACCGAGCTTTATGCCGCTCAACTGACCCATCAGACAGATATTTTGTCTTGTAAATCCACTTACAACCAACCACATTTTTAGTATGATCCCAAGGTACCAAATCCCAAGTCTTATTGGTCATTTAAAGCTTAATACGCATGGCCGCCCGTTAAACTTAAACTCAGTTTACCATGTTCCTCACATTAAATACAATTTACTTTCCATTCAAAAGTTGTGTGCGGACAATGCCTGTCAAGTTATTTTTGATAAAAATTCTTTTCGTGTTAAGGACACTCAAACGGGGGAGCTTCTACTTCAGGCAACTAATAAAGATCACATTTATCCTTTTCATGCTCTTCATGCCCGAGTTGTTCCTGGTCCAATCTGGCACAAACGTCTGGGGCATTGTGGTGATAGAGTAATAATGTATTATCTTGGGACTTATGTGTAATTACCCTAATTACGTTTTATTATAAATATAAGCTTATGGCACCCAATAGGGTAAGCCATTATTTCCCAATTCTATTGTTTTGTATATGGTATCAGTTGCTAGGTCATTCAAAACCCCTTCCTATGGCCGGCCGTACCACATCAGCCGCCGATAATACATTATTACATATCAGTTGGCTTTCTACAGCCAAGGGTTAGCACATGATATGTTTCAAGAAGAAGAATCATTTACAATATTTTTAAAAAAGTTACATACATGATCAAAGAATGGTGTACACTTCTTACAACTGCATGAGTAGATTATAAATGAACATTACATTTGCCATGCCTTTATGAGTATCAAAGCATGCTAGGTTTGCAGAAGAATATAATCTCCATAAATTTGCCTTCAAGGGTTGGAGGATTCATCTCTCAATAGGTTGAATGCAGTTTCAACTAAAGAGTGCATGGTTGTGGTGTGCCGATTCATACCAACCGACCCAGAGAAAACATGAAAGCTCTCAATCTCCGATGTGGTCTCCATGATGCACTCCAGTTGATGCTCCATTCCCAGGTTCCTCAAAACCTCAATATTTCTTCTGTTGTCTCTCATCATCCAGATTGCCAACTCTATGGCAAACCTCCTTATTCTTGGGACCTTTATTGATGGATATTGATGGCTCTCCAAGATTTGAATTAGTTTTTGAGCGAGTTCGGCTTCTTTGATCCCGGCTTTTCGAAACATCATCCCTGATTCTTCACCAGGTTCCATATACATGAAAACATGGGACGCTAATCCAAGCATTACTTCCTGCATTTTGCTTTCCTCTGTCATGATTGCTTTAAGGATCTGCAATAGTGAAACTCTCCTATTAGCTTACTTTACAAAGACTTGAGGAGATTCCTAACCTCTTGGGCAGATGGATTTAAGAATTTGATTTTAAAAATCTTCCCCAATTCAGTTCATAAAACACTATTCTAACAATTTTTGCACAAAACAAAGGATAAATGAAATTAGAATAACAAAGAGGGAGTTCAAACAAGTAAACACTCATCCCCTTCCACAATGGCAGAAACTTACAGTTGGTCCAGAAGCAGTTAGGCGTTGAAGCTGGACAAAGCTACTAGATCCAGTGCTATAAGCACACAAGTTCCTCAAAATCCGGGCCGCATTTGCCCGAAGTAGACGATCATCCAATGCTTCAATCAACCTTTCTGTCACCTCTAACTTCAACATCCGGTGGCAATTCTTCTCGCTCTCTAGTGCCAACATTGCTAGGGCTTCTCCAGCTGCATTCCTCACACGGATCTGATCGACATCGTCATCATTCCTCCTCAACCCATCCTCCTTCTTTAGGAAAATGCGAAACAGCTCCTTAAGAACTCCGCCTGTCCCTCCGATCCTCTCGGATGCCTCCTCCTCCAGCGCGAGGCTCTTCAGGATATCTATCCCTAAGAACTGCAATACCGAGTGCTTTTCACCGTACTTCAGTATATCCCTGATATTACTGACGGTGAATACCACTTCGGAGATCTCTTTCCTCAGATCTTTCCCGGTGGCGCCCGCCGTGCTTGCCAGCATCTGTAGAACCTGCAGAGACCGTTTCAGCGCTAAGATCTGTGTAGGTGTGGCGGATTCATCCCTCAACATTCTCTCCCCCGCCTGTGCGAAGTCGATGATTTTAGGTAATAGTCCTCTCGTATTTGCGATTTTACCGCAATTATCATGATCCCTAGCTAGTTTCTTCAGAATTAGAAGCCCTAGATGGTTGAATGTCCAGAATCCGTAATTCTCGCTGTCGAATATTATCCTCTTCTCGGAAATCTCGTCGCGTGCCCCACCGGGACGGTCGCGGATGATTTGCAGGAGTGAGGATATGGATTCCATGGCGCCCGGAATTCCGGCGACGCGAAGAGCGTTCTGTTTTCTTCCGGCGAGCTTTGATAAGATCTCGGCGGACGAGAGCCTTATCTCTTCGTCTTCTGGATTCTTCCAATTCAACATCTCCACAAACCTTTCCATCACTGAAATATTAGTCCCGATCTTCTGGAGAGTATCGTCGGAGAACCGGGGACTGGTTGAGAATTTCTTCAAAATACGAGCTCCTGAGAGCTGTTCGTCTGGGAAGTTTGAAGCCAGAAGTTCCATCCCGAACGACACCATATCCATCTTCAACCCATCAAACACGCTACCAAACACACATTTAGAATAAGCATCATAGAAGAACCGTTTGACTGAAACCTCACCGGAAGGCCCAAGTTCGCACTCCTCATTCACTTCCTCTATCAGCTTGCAAAAAGAAACCTTCCATTCACAATAAGCTTTCTCTACGAGAAACAACAAAGCTTCTGCCAATGCTAATGAGTAGAATATATCTAGAGCCGATTTTCTGTTCCTCCTATCAGTGTCTCCCTTTGCCACCTCTCCATAGTCCTGTCTGATCAGTTTAGTCAAGGAGAGAACCAAACAGGTTGTAGCAGAAACAATCTGCAGCCAATGTAGCACCCTACCCATGTTATTTGATATGAAAAACCATTTAGCGTATGGAATGAGAGGAACCTCTGAGGTTGTCCATGTCCTTGTGGGTATCCTCATCTTCTTCTGGCCCGAGTCTTTAACCGACATAATCTTATCCCCGCCATTGTTTCTTCCGATCATCTTGAAAGCTCTGGAGATGAATTGGGACCCGGATTTCAAAGCGCGGAAGCTACTAATCCCAACGTCCGTAAGAGACCATGTCGCTTGGTGTTGCCACTCGAGCTCATGGCTTCTGCTGAAAATCCGGGTTCCCTCTATGAGGAGGATGACTGTTATGAACCAGAAATCTGTTTTGGCTAAGGTGATGGCAAAACCCCCTAGGAGCACAACGGTCGCCCATATGAAGCCGAGAGTACCTAATCCTGTTGCAGCTTTCTCTAACACCGCTAACCTCAATGCGAAAAGTGTCAGTTTCTTCTCAGGTGCTCTGACCTGGGGCTGTTTGGCAGTGACGGGATTCTCGCTGTTGATGATATTGTTTTCCATTTGTATATGAACGTCACCACCTTCGCTTTCTAATGACTGCCCTCTATCCATTTCGCAGTCTGGTATAATTTCTTGGATACAAGTTTGGGAAGGATTGAGTTCAATGCTTAAAGCTTAAGAAGTTTATGGAATTACAATTACAGCTTTGGGTTTTGCAGTTTGGAGTATATATATGAGCATAGACAGAGACGTACAGAGAGGTGGAGAGATGGGATAAGGAGTGAGCTTGCAGAGCACGTTACAGAGTTGCGTCTCTTTCTGTAGATTTTCCCTGGGAAAGTTAAGACTTCTGGCAACAAATTTGTGGGTTATATCCACCATAATTAGTGTTAACGTCATGGGTAATTCTATGGAGAATGTTGACATCTGCATGAAGAGGTAGCTTACAAGCATGAAATAACTCCATTTGATTGCGGTCAATTTGTGATTTGGATACATGATGCTCCGTCATTTCATCGGTGTATATGCTCTTTAAGAAGTGGATGATCGTGTTCTTTAAAATTAATTACAATGTCACACGGTTTGACAATCTTATTAGTCAATTCTTCACAAAAAACTGACTTATTTAAACGGCTGAATCGGCTCATATAATGAAAGGAAAGCGTGAAGATTGGTAATTTTGTTTTTGGCTAATGTTATTTATAGGTGTTTTGTTCTATAAATAACTAATATCGAGTGTTTGGCTAGATATTGAGTGTTTGGTTAAAAGTGTAGAAATTATTCTGGATGCTCCAAATTGCTCATAAAAGCAGTTTTTTAAAAGTTTGGTGAGACCAGTTTCTGCAAAACTGATTCTGATTCTGTTTTTTAAAAAAGTAGTAGAAGCAGAATCAATTTGAAACACCTCCTTAGTTTATAAAATAAATATATTTAGATACTTTATCAAATTCATTTTTATTATGAAGTAATTTGAGTTTACACCCCATTTCTTTTGTCCAAATTAGACTTTGTATACCGTTATTAAAAATTTTTATTTTGCACTCCAATCCCATATGAAAAGACAAAAATGCCCCCCATTAACAATTTTGCTGGCCTTCAACATATTCTTGATCGTGGGCATTTTGGTCTTTTCATATATGGTTAGGCTGCAAAAACAAAGATTTTTAAACACGGGGTGCAAAGTCCATTTTTTAGACAATAATATGAGATGCAAACTCAAATTACCCCTTTTATTATAGCAGTGACTAATAGAAATGAACGAATCTATTCTTTTAACTGAAAAAATTGGTAAATTTAAAAGAAATTATACAAAATAAAAGTAAAAGTAATCAAAGTTTTAAGTTTCGAAACATATGTTTCCTCCGTTCCTATTTAGTCCTAACATTTCTATTTTCACGTTTCCAACGCACAACTTTGATAAATTACCAATCTTCAAATTGACAGGAGACGGTCGGCCTTGTGTGCTTCCTTGGTGCAAAACTTCATCGGAGTTTCAATGAGTCGGGACAGATGAATGTTAATTGTCAGGAAACCAACAACTCAATGGATGGGAGCTGAGCTTTCTGCGCTAGGGTTCGGAACCGTGCCTTGTTCATGTCAACAATTTTAGAGATGGTTCGACTTCCTCCTGAACCACCGCCAGGGGTTGAACGAGGTGCTAGGGTTCAAGAATTTTATCTTTTCGCTGTGTTGTTTTTTATGGTGTTGAGTACTATGTTTATTTTCAGTTCTTTATTGTTTTGTATTGTAATAAGACTTTGAGTTTGAATAAGGGTGACAGGAGGTCTGTGCTTTCCGTCTTTGACTCAGTTGCATCAAAAAATGGATCAGCGAGTTATACTGTTTCTTTTGAGGTGGTTAACTCTGAGTCTGGTTGAGGGTCGACGGTTACTTGCAGTCTCTTTGTCATTTTAGATCTTATCTAAATGATGTGATATCAATTTAAGTCATTTTTCTAATAAATAAATTGCAATGAGACATTTGATACACTCATACATGATACACCTACGCCGGTCATTTCAGTTATTTATATTTATGGTTTACGTTAAAAATGGGCTCTAATTATTGTGAAAGGATTGGTTATTAATCACGTTGGCATCTTTTAATTATTGGAACTGATCCTTTTCCAACTATTATCATGTGTAGCTTGCTTCCAAGCTCCAACGTTGTGAGTTGCCACGTGTCTTACACCCACTGTCGGCAAATATTCTATTCTGCGTACGCGTTGTACTAAGAGTGGGGGACGAGAAGGGTTATATTCAGCCAGCCAAGCTGGATTTGGATTCTTGCTAAATGAAAACGACCCTAATCCCTTAATTGGCTTTGTTCATAAAAAGGGAAAGTTCCCAGAATAGGAGTAATTACTATCAAGTTTGGAAAATACTGTCATGTTTGAAGTCTGGTACTGCCCAAACATGACAGTAATTAGTCCTATTTTGAGAATAAAAACATTGAAGTTCTATTTTGGAATTTTCAAACCCTTTTAGTCCTATTTCGGGTAATATTTCAAAAAAGAACTACGAAAAGATGCTTTATTTTATCATAATATATGTGAAAGCTCAGAGTTTTATTTTGGTCTAGATTGATCATAATCCGGCGCGGATCCAGGAAATTCATTTTGAGGGGTTTAAAATATTTTTGGGGGACGTAAATTTTTTTGAGGGGACCAAATTTATTTTTTGTATATATAAACACAAAAAAGTTTTTTGTTGGTGAGGCGGTAGCCCCCCTGGATCTCAACCAAAAAGTGGAATTCCTAATCCCAAGCGTCCCACACCTCGATCCAACATTAAAGTACAAATAATTAAAGTTAGATATGATCTCAAACTATTTCCAAATGATACGGGTTGGACTCGATGCACACAAGGAGCTACTACATTAAATGAAATTCTCACACTATCTTTGTCAGGAATTAAACTTGAAACCTCACCCCACACCATAATACTTCCTCCGTCCCGAAAAGGTTTGCCAAATTTCCTTTTTGGATGTCCCAAAAAGATTTGCCATTTCCATTTAAAGTAATAAATATGTGGCTAAAATTAATTATCTCTCCTCTACATAAATTTCAACCACACAATTTTTACTTTATTAATCCACGTGAAAGTCAAAGTTGACGAACCTTTTCGGGACTGTACAAGCAAAGGAAATCCCCCATCATGGGCCCGGATCAATTCTCCACGGTGTATTTAATAAGTGGAAATTTGACTAAAAATTAAAAAAAAAATAGAATAGATTCTACACCTTTTTCTCCC